GGTGTTGCTGAAATCACAATTTAGTCCTCATCACTTGAAATACATAGGATATCATTTTTGCCACTTCTTCAAACAAATTCTACTGCAATTCCCACATCTTGTCCAAATGTTCAGAAATTTTATCTTGTGAGATTTGAAAGGTATATGGATTTGTAGCAAGCAGCATTTGTACACTTTCTTACTCATTCAAATATCATTCATGAAAGTGAAAAAGCACAAAATAACAATGTCTAACTTGAGATGTAACTGTATCAGTTTAAGCTTCAACTGGTTCAAACCTGAGGCTCTGTACCAAACCCTAACTATTCTTCATCCCTGTCCTTTTGGGACAAAACTTGGGGATCATGTTATCTCACACATGTGTTCTGTGTTACTAATTTTGTTATCTCCTCTTAGACTACTAGAGTTAGGAATTTCGAAACCTTGGGGACTGATAGATCTATTATCAGGCATGTTCACAAGCACTTCACAATTTGTAACAGAGGGTTTGGCTGTCTGTTGGGGGTGGATGATTCTTAGAATTATTTTACATAATTTTTGTAATTTCTGCTATCTCTTCCATTTGAGTGAGGAAGTTGAAATTTAGGGAAATGGCAAACCTATCATCAAAGAAGTGCAAGGGCATTTTGTAATTTTAGAGCGCCTTTGGGTAGGGCTGTCCCTGGGGGTTGGCTGATTTTAATATTCTACATTGTAGTTTCAGCTATCTCCTTCTTGGCCATTAAAATGGGGAATTTAAGACTTTTTGGGATTGATAGATCTATAAAAAGGGATGTGGAATGACCAGTCATAATTTATGTGTGTGTGGAGGGGGGGGGGGGGGGTCCTTGGGGAGCGGGAGTAGGTAGATAAGTCTTTTTTTGCACTGAACATTTTTTTTGCACATAAGTTTATGCTGTTATTATAAAGATCATTGCAAAAATCTTCCTAATAGGGCCAAGGCATTGTCATAGATAACAAAAGTACAGGGTCTCTGAGTGTGAGCTACTCTTAACAATGTGAGGATGTGCGGGGATATGTGACACCTTCTATTTCTTTTTTAGGAAGTACAAATAACTGCTTGCCTTATTTTTATTTTTTGTACTTCTGCTGTAGATAATAAACAATAGATAATATATGTATGCACATGTATATGATAACACTAATAAACATTTAAAATAATCTCCATTTTATTTGTTCACCTTGAGAGCAGAAATGCTTCCAAATGTCTGGTAACAAATGTTACATTCTCTCAGTGGGGGGCCTGCTGCCATTGATGACCCAGCAGATGGCGCTGACACTGGCAAGGGACCAGCTTGTCTTGGGGCACCTGCATGGTGACTTTCCACTGAAATATATAGAAAAAAAAATATTGAGAAATATCATTTCCACAGAATAGCTAACACTGTAGAATGGAGAGATGGATTTGAAGTTAATAAAGTAAGCAATTTATAGCTTAGCAAATCTTTGTACACTAGGAAAAAATTTATTTCTAAATTATCTTGATTAAAGCTGGTGTTTTCATATAGTGCGTTAATGTCTCTTTTTTTCTATAATGGGAAACTATTATCAATTTTTCAGATGCATAATTT